GGAAATCGTGGTCATTATGAATCTGCATTTGGAAAGAATCATTGGTGCAAGGATGGCAGATTTGGGTGTAGCAGAAGGATCACATTAGGCAAGCATTTCAGGAAAGGAATTCAAAAAGGAAGACTTACCTTCCCTGAGGAGCAACGACTACCTACTGAGGAGTACAAAAAGCACACTCGGAATCAAGAGGAGGCACTTTTATGGAGATCAATTTTGACAAGAGAGCAAAGGAGTTTGTTAGTTAAGATTGATAAGAAAAGGGACTCGAAGTATAGAAAGGAGTGTGTCTATATTAGAGTGGGGCTGGATAGCTATGATTACAAGGAGAGTAAGATAGGTATTTGACCATTCTTCCTGGAGAGGTCGATTGATCTCGTCAAGGAGTGTAACTCTGTTTCCGAGCATAAAAAAAATCAACTTTAGTGGATTGTCGAAAATCACACAACATGATCTTCCGACCGTGGAGTAGTCAGTATTGGGATCCTCTTTCTCCCAATACTGGAAACCACGTAAAAGTGCCTGTGTTCTTTAAGCCTCTGCATTTTATTGTTCTGTTGTTTCGTTCTTGTTTGGTTTTGCAGAGTTGGGTTGAGTTGCTTATACAGAGAAGAAGGCTCGGCAGAAGGTAGAAGGAGATCAGGGGAATAAGGGTAAAATGCAGCGCTCAGGTAAATTAAAGCCGGAAAGAAAACGGAGAAAGAAGGGTTGGCCTGATCGTCAAAGCCCAACTCACTTAGTCATAACTTGACAGAACAAGAGAAGTGTCTTGGTTAATTTGTTTTGCAATCGAAACTGCATATTTCTCTCTGTCTTTCACTTGATCTTTTAGAAGATTGAATTAGGATTTTCAGGAGAGAAGAGGAAATTCATAAAAGGAGCAGGCATCTCGCGCTCAACGCCAACAACAATACATCCCGGCCAACTTGCCGGGCACCATTCTTGTAACCCTTAGTTCCAAAAGCCTCACGGGCGCATAAGCAGCCTCAACACAAATCTAAAGTATATGGTCCTGATCACCTTAAGGTTACACTATGAAACAGCCTAGCACGCCGCCAAATTATTATTATACGTATTAAACAACAAGATTATATGGTATAATTTGGGTTGGGAAAATGTCACACAAGGGAAAAGATGGTCAACTCTAATAATTAGACGGGCAACAAAGGTTTGGTGATCCCTTGTTTTCTAAGACTGTAAACATGTTCAAGCACGCAAGCTCATTTAATTAGACATTAGCGATGGGTTGTTTTGATTAAACTAAATAAATTAATTTTAAGTTCTCATTATTGTGTGCACACATTATAACACATGTTTCTAAGTTCTAACACCTAACAAGCATGCGAACAAACTTGCTGGTGGTTGCTTGTTATGAGACCTATCTTTATAACAAATATTAGGTTTGGCAGTCGGTTTGGTTAGAACTAGATTAAACAGTTGATTCTCAGTTAACTGTTAAACATTTTGTACTTATTGTTGACTGCACCATTTATATTAGTTGGTAGTTGGTTTTTGGTTACTTTTCGGTTAACCAGATAACTGTTAATCATGTGATTCGGCAAGGTTACACCAAAATAACCGATTGGTAACCTAACTAGCATAAGATTTCCTCCTTTTTTTCAATTGTGCATTTTTTAATGATTTTTCATGTGTTTTTTTAGGTTATCATTGAATAAATTATAATTTAACATAGATATCAATCCATAATCAACCAAATCCAACACAAGTACACAACAACATTTGACTGTCAAACTTGATTAAAGAGGATAAAAGAATAAGAGAGACAACAACAATTACACAACTCATAAACCCCACCAAATCACATGGAATGTTATATGTTACCAATTGTTGTGGAGCTACTGAATGCAAGTCCAACTTTCTATGTGCTCCTACTAAAGTCATTCTTGACATTATTCTCATTTTAACTTAAGTCACTATTACAACTAGGGTAGGAAAGGGATCTTGTAGGCCTTCAGGTATCCAATTATTTTTTTACCTATGTCTGTTGCTTTGAGATTTATTATTTTCGTCCCTAGCTATGAGGATGAGAGTAATCGGTAAGTCAGTTAACCGTTTAACCGTCGGTCACTAATCGTTTAACTGTTGATTAGTAATTAGTCACTAATCATGGAGTAATGACCCTAATTGGACTTGATAATGAAAATAGACGTAGCGGTCATATCAATCTTACTAAAATGTTGAGATGAATATATCAAAATTGGAAATCATCTCTGTTAGGAAATTCTATTTCCTATTATGTATGGGCCATATATTTTATGCACAATTATATTTGTTATTTGGTTATGTGGGCCTAATACAAGTGATCTAGCTATGGAGCCCAAAGATATTGCTTTGATATGGGCTCAAATGGGTGGAAACCACGTACAAGTCCACTTGAGTTTTACGGGAGCCCATGGTGGAATTTGTATATAAAGGAGTTGAGGTTGTGGTCCCAATACACCAAGACAAAAAACAATCTCATCTTCTCCACATCTAGAAGTGAGAGGTCTCCCGTTTAGGACCTAAGGTGGTTTGGTTGAGGAAGGCCTCAGAACCTCCCGGATCATGCTTCGGAGGTATCATCCGGTTCTAGATCGTCCTTAGATTCCGCTTCAAGTTCTTGGCGATCAATCAACACAATTCCAGGTATCATTAAATAACATTTGATAATCTAGCGTTATGATGATCCAGTGAATAGCTTCAATGTATTTTGCTTATTTTCTATAAGTGTTATCTAGAAATTGCTTGTGCAAATTTTGTTATATTTAACAATCTCAAGATTACTGAACAATGATAAAAAAAAAAAAAAGATTGCTGAACAATCTCAAAATATGTTAAAATACTTTTACCTTAGAACTATTGCCACATCAATCTTACTAAAGTAATGATTATTCATATCAACCACCTAAAATGTACATCCCGTTTCTTCGTCTCCGGAAAGTCACAATTTCTTTGTCATCTCCGTACTTCCTCGGTGTCTCACAACTCTTGGAATCATCATGCCACGGCATCATCAAGGGTTAATCGCTTTCTTTGCTTCCTCCCCGCTGGAAGTGCCTGGAAACCTTGAATTGAAACCCCGGGCCCTTAATAACATAAACCCAAGCCCAACTATGTAGATATCAACAAAGCTTTCATGACTGTTCAAACCAGGCCTAAATCCCGAAATATGGCCTCACGCATTATCAACAGCCGGCCTGACTCAACCATAATGGCCCACGTTACTTGCTTTCGTGTGGCCGATTGTAATATTGTATGAGAAATCGAGAATGTTATCCCGTCCATGTGTATTCCTGCTCTGTTTGGAGTTCATGTATCTAACAGTAGATCCAGCCATACCATTTTTTTTTTTGTGAAAACCATATCTTTATTCCCATTGAATCAAAACTCTATTATTATTATTATTATTATTATTATTATTATTAGATAAATGCCACATTTGGTCACTGAAACTACTAAATCGTGTCATGTTTAGTCACTAGAAAAATTTAATATCAAGTTTGGTCACTCGAATTACTGAAACATGTCACATTTACTCACTCTCTCGTTAACCTCCATCCAACTCTGGTCACTCGAATTACTGAAACATGTCACATTTAGTTACTCTTTCGTTAGTTTCCGTCCAACTCAATTAATGAAGTTGGACAGAAACTAACAGGAGAGTGACTGAATGTGACCTGTTTCGGTAATTCGAGTGACCAAAATTAATATTAAACTTTTCTAGTGACTAAATATGATACAATTTAGTAATCTCAGTATCAAAATGTGACATTTACCCTATTATTATTATTGATACCTGTTACAAGGTGGTGCTAATAGAGAGGAGTATAAAGCCCCGAAATTAGGAATCGAACTCCCATCTCACAGAGGGAAAGGGTAGTGCGTCGATCTATGGTCCTCGCTCGCATCGAATCTAAAGTCTGAGGTCTTGGTGTTACACTCTTTTCTCCCCACGTTTCTCTCTCGAAATGAGTGTTTTATTTATCCTCATGGGTTATCAACTATATTTTCAAAATCGGATATATACGAAAAAATTAGTGATTTATTAGTGATTGGTTAATCATTATAAAATCGTTGATTAATCATTGATAGAATCGTTCATATACTATAACATAAAAGACATATAATATTTATTTATTTAGAATTGAATTTATCATTGTCCATAAAATTTTCAAATCCATATAATTCATCAGTTCTAAAAAATCATTCGAACTATTTCAGAAAAGAAATCATAAATATTTTTTATTAAAATCAAGTTAGAATTATGTTTGCAATTGGTAGTGGACCATGTAAAACCAACAAGATTGTTGAGAAACAAAGAAGATGAATCATAAATAAAACGAGTAATTCAGTTTGAATGGTCTTAGTTTACGCTAAATTTTTTTATGGTAAAATAGTTAACTGGTGGACCGACCAAACCGAGATGATCCATCTGGTTCATGTCCAATTTTAAAAATAGTTTGTTCCATCCCTAGCCATTCAAACAAATAAACCGAACTATTATCGTAACTAGTTTGACAATTCTACTAATCCAACCAATGATCGATTTGGTTCTTATAACAAGGATTATCAACTTAACATGAATCCCTATTTTCTGTACCAACATATTCTAGTTTTATTTTCAACGAGAAAGTTGCTTTTATGAGATATCAAGTAACCATACATAGGGTAAGGATTCCTTTAACATGAACTTTTAGACTGTGTGATTCTCAATATAGGTTTAGTCACGCTCCTTATTGTACTCCACACTTAATACGTTTAACTTTGGAGTTCTCACAAAAATTTGTTCATTTCACCTCAAAACGCGTCTTGTCAATTAAAACAGATTTCTTCTTATGAATCATAAATCTCTCCCGTACTTTTGTCGATATGCTATTCGGCTAAAGTGTTACCGTTTCCTTCGACTTACAGTTGCCTTTGAGGGTATAGGCGGATTGGGGAAAAAAAAAAAAAAGAATTATGAACAATTCATATGCATACATACACGTACGTACATCCTTCCATCACCTCTCAAACTTGTCCCCGTCACCGGAGTCCGCCGTCAACTCGGCTCGGCAGACCGGACACGTGACGTGGAAAGCCAGCCACCTGTCAATACAACCCACGTGGAACACGTGGTCACATTTAGGCAACAGCCTCAACAAGCTCCTCCCCGCTTCGAACTCGCACAAGCAAATGGCGCATGCGCCCGTTTCCCTCACCACCTTCTTCTCCATCAGCTTCCTGACGTCCGCATACCGGAGCACCGGGAACGTCTCCATCACGGCGGCTTCCACGCCCTTTTGCATCGTCTCATGACGGCCGTCGTTAAAGTAGTCACGATTCATCATGTGGTCGATCCGCCGCCGGTGGCGCAGGAGGGCGAGCGCCGCGAGGTAATAAGGGATAGGGCGGCGGTGGAAGCGGAGGAAGATGCAGAACAACCTGAAGAGGAAGAAGACGAAGATGATGACCGCTACCGCCTTCATGTACGGTTGCTGATTCGCGTCGGCCAAGCAACCATGGACGTCGGGGATCGGGTTCAGTAGCTCCGTACTATTCGATTGGCCGGCGGCGGAGGATGAAAATAAGGAAATAAATATGTTTTCTTGCTTCATCACTCCTTAAATGTTTTTTTCTTAACAGTTACGTCCCTAACTAAGACGAGAGGATTTGATTATTGAAGGGGAAATGAGAGTGTAGGATTAAATTTGTAGCGTATGGTGAAATTGCGGGGTGCGGAGGGTGATATGTGGATATATAATGATGATGAATTTTGTTTGATTCGTCGCTGTAATTCGGTCGTTATCAAGCTGGGAACGGGTAATTAATTGATGAATTAACTGCCTGCCCCTATGTTCTGTTACTTGTTAATTACTCAAAACACTGATTTAGTTTTTTTATCTTAAGCTTTCAGGGTGTCACATCCTGTCATTAGATGTGCATTTTGTGAAACAAGCATGTAATTAAGCTAACGAAAATTGAAATTTCGTTTGTGGGGCGGGTGGTTTGTATAACAATTAGAAGTTTTTAATTTGATAACGTTGGTTACAAGTTGGTAAAGCTCGAAATTTTTAGGATTACGGACCAAATTATATTGGGGCGCCAATATCAAAATTTATAATTTCAAGAAGAGCAGGGGGAAAATAGGCGCCAACACACCTTATTGATTCTTTGACGTTCACAGTTCACGAAGTTCCAATTTTAAAGCAATCTCAGTGTCTGCTCTCCAGGAGGAGGCTTATACTCAGTTACTCACAGCAGAGACACTTTCCAGCCCAATCGATTGCCTCCTGTTGTCCGGCAAGGTTGCCTCTGGTCAAGTGGTTTTTGGAAGATAGGTCACAGCTGGGCCTGGCCCAACAGTAGTAATGAATGGTTTGCTGGTCAAACCTGGTTAAGCCATTGAACCGATCAAGTAAGAGATTTGAGGTTTAATAATTTGATCAGGGTCCAACCAGTTTAAACCGGTTTAGACTTTTTCTGAATATATATACAAATAAGGTAGTAATTAAATATTTAATAACTGAAATGAAATTTATCTTACATGTATCTATTAAAAACTTATTTTCCATTAATTAATCTACCTAACCTGCATGACCCACCCGCCATTTTCCTTCCTTTGTTCCTCTTCCTCTCTTACCCCTCTCTTCTTCTCCCTCTTTAGGGGTATTAATCATAAATGATCACAAAACTATTAACTTTGTACAAATGGTCACAAACCTTTAATTTTGCACGTTTCATTAACAAATGTTTGTACTAATAACAAAAAGATAATTACGTCCATCTCCATCCAAAAAACGGTTAGTTCCATCTAGTCAGCACGCCACGTCATTTAGGCTCAGGATAGGGTGAGTAACTATTGGTTACTCACCCGTCAGTAACCATCTAGAAGCCGTTGATTTGGGCGGATTCATCATGTGGATGGGATGGATGCGGAGATGGTAAGGGGTATTTTTGTCCGTTGCTTTAATTTCGTATTCTTTCCTTTTTTTTATTTTGTCCAGCATTTATTAGCTGGTTTGAATGGAGGAGAGAGAATTCAACATTTCCTCTTTTTCTGAAACTTTCCTTTCCTCTTTCTTTCTCTCTCCAAATCTTGTTCTTCTCTAAATCTGATCTCTTCTTCAGTTCTTCATTTTTTTTCCAACAATCGAACGAAAGAAAAGTGCAGCCTCCTTCTTTCATTGTGTTTCTTCTCATCGAGATCCTTCTTCTCTTGAGATACTCCCTCCTTCTCTTTTTTTTCCCCCACCGAAATGGACGAGGGAAAAGTGAATTCTCCTTCTTTCATTATGTTTCTTCTCTTTGTCAAGTCCTCGACCTGAAGCTCCAAATCGCTCAAGAGGGGAAAGATCTAGGTGAGTCGAGTTTGCATGTTTTATGCTTTAGTATTTTTTTTGCGGATTTTCAATTCCAATCTTCCTCATTTTTATTTTTGTATTCTTAAACGCGGAGGAGAAAATGAGAGGAGGCAGAAGACGAGCATGTGAAGTATGTCTTAGATGTATATTGTGGTTACCATACTATAACATGGTGGTATTATGTGGTAACTAGATGTTTATTGTGGTTACCACACTATACCATATGGTAATGTGTGGTAACTAAACGTATTTTTATGGTTACCATGTTTTACCATGGTGGTATTATGTGGTAACTAGATGTTTATTGTTGTTACCACACTATACCATATGGTAATGTGTGGTAACTAAACGTATTTTTATGGTTACCATGTTTTACCATGATGGTATTATGTGGTAACTAGATGTTTATTGTGGTTACCACACTATACCATTTGGTAATGTGTGGTAACTAAACGTATTTTTATGGTTACCATGTTTTACCATAGTGGTATTATGTGGTAACTAGATGTTTATTGTGGTTGCCACACTATACCATATGGTAATGTGTGGTAACTAAACGTATTTTTATGGTTACCATGTTTTACCATGGTGGTAGAGGGTGGTCATCGACATCAGTTCCGGGAAAGAAGAGTCTAAGGACAATGAAGTGGACAAGAAAGTGAATAAAGTTGTAATTAGATATATATTGAGATTACCACACTATACCATATGGTAATGTGTGGTTACCATATTTTATCATGTTGGTAGAGGGTGCTAATTAGATTTATATTATTGTTATATGGTTTTAGCTTCTCTTACCATATGGTACTGTGTGGTTACCATGTTTTATCATGTTGGTAGAGGGTGCTAATTAGATTTATATTGTTGTTATATGGTTTTACATTCTCTAACCATATGGTACTGTGTGATAATTATAACTAATTTGTTGTCATTCGATTTACCATGTTCTATTATGGTGGTATGATATGGTAATTAGATTTACAAATTTGTTAGCATGTATTACCATGTGCTATTGTATGGTAATAAGATTTGTAATTTTTTTAGCATATTTTATTATGTTATACCATAGTTGTAGAAGGTGGTAATTATACTCATACTTGTAATTATCATGTTAAGCATAAATGATTGAATAAAGACATCACCATTAAATTTGAGTTGAAGTTAGAGCAGAGAGAGTTTAGATGGTTTGATTCATATATATGTGTTGTAGAGTTGGAGTAAAAGTTGGGAAAACATGGATCATTTTTTTTAGTTTAGATGAGAGAGAATTGTTTCTCTTCTTCTTCTCTCGAAAAGATGATTTATTTTTTTGTTTGCAGATGTCAGAGAGAGGGGAAGCATGGGGACCAGTGAGGGTGGAGAAAAAGAGGAAGGAAGGCATGGGCTGAGAGTCATTGTGGGGTCTGCATCTGGTCAAAACTCAGTATCATCATTAAATGAGTTGACGCTATGACGATTTTGCCCCTCCGTGTATTTAATTTTCCTGATCTGACGGTTACAAATTAAATGCAATGGACGGTAGATGAAAAGGTTACTAACAAGTACTGACAAAAAGGTTACTGATGGGATCCGGACCCCGTCATTTAAGATATTAATACAAAAACTAATGATCAAATCCAATTTAACCGATAACCCAACTGAAAACCCCTATCCTATATCCACCCAACCACCGTCACTGTGCACTTTTGTCCTATCTTCTTCCACCGCATAATCCCCTTCCCCGAAGAGACCTACAGCAGAAGAAAAATATCGGCGGCCTTGCGTTTCGGCAACCTCGCGAATGAAATGCTCTGGAGAAAACTCGCCTGCGGAGGAAGCCCACAAGCAATCGATTGCTCATCCCTAGAACTAGCAAGGCAGCAACCGGAGAATTGTTGGGCTTCAATTGTAGACCCAGAGCGTTGCAGCAGCTGCAACCGGCTTCGAGTATAAGAACAAGAAGACGGCAAAGTATTCATACCCACCATTTATGTTTACAGACGAATGTTGATGGGTTATAAGGCCTGGTGTTGCACCCGCATTGTCTCTTGAAGCTTGACAAGTGATTTTCTTAGAAGAAAATAATGATTAAATATGAAAGTGGGTTCAGGCCTTAATTCCACTTATCTGAAAAATAAAAAAATGGATTTAGGAGAGCCTGCGACTGAGGAACTGAAGGCAAGGTCAATTTCCGAAGAGGGCCGGCGATTCGTCTTCTGCCGGATCTAGTCAGATGGAAGCATTTGGTCGACGGCGATTCGGCTTCAGAGAAGGTAATAGCCGGGTTGAGCGGAAGGCGGGGCGACGCTGGAGTAGATGAGGCCTACGAGAAGGCTGGACTAAGCAACGGCGAGCGGGGGAAAGTGACAGAATTCTAGTGGTGTAGAATTAGGGTTTTCGGTTGGTTGGTTATCGGTTCAATTGGGTTTGGTTATTAATTTTTGTATTAATATATTAAATGACGTAGCATGCTGACTAGACTAACATAACGGTTTTTTTGGATGGAGATGGACGGAATTACTTTTTTGTTATTATTTTTTTTATGAATGGGTGAGATCTTATTTCATCAAAATACAATCCTTACATTGTTCCACAAGTTACAAGCTCACTACCCTTCTACTCTCTATACACAAAAACCTGGATAGAGATCTAAACTTAGAACACAAAAAAACCAAACACAAACATCTACAAACAATTCTACTATTTATACCACAAACAACACCTAGACATAGCTAACTCAGCAAATCCAGGGTCTCCTAACACTTTAGCTTCCATCACATCCTGCATCTTCCTCGCAAGCTCCACAGCTGTCAGTTGTTTTCCACCAAAGACTCTTCTGCATCGTTCACGCCATATCTCACTCAGCACTAGACACCAGAGGATCCTGCCCACCAAACACTTATTAAATCGCCGAGTTGCCAGAACCACCGCCCCCTGCAAATCCCTTGAAACCGGAAGGCGCTACGAGGGAGGGAATACAGTACGCCAAATTGCCTGCACATATGAACACTGGAAGAATAAGTGAGACTTAGTCTCCAAATCTTGCCCACAAAAAGAGCACAGACCTACCACTGCAGGATTCCAGAGCTTCACCACATCCATAGTATGGATGCGCCCCAATAAAATAAGCCAGGTGATTGTCGAGTTTTTGGGGATACCCCCTTTCCAGACCAGCTTTGACCAGCCTACCTCATCCCCACGTGGCCTAAAACTATGCCAGACTCTACTGATCTTGAAATTATTCATCAGTTCCCCTTCCCACTCTACCCCTCTGCTAGTTATACACATCTTCCCTGCTATGTCACTCCTCAGCTTTAGTACCTTGTTCCACACCCAAGATCCGCGAATGCTGACTTCCCAAATGCTCAAATTCCTGAGATGATATTCCTTTATCCAGGCAATCAAAAGGGTATCCATATCTGAAAGTATCCCCCAGATGTGTGTGGTGAGGCAGGCTTTATTCCAGGAATAGAGATCCTTGAAGCCCATACCACCCTCAGTTCTAGGTAAAGCCACTGTTTTCCATGAAACTTTTGCTCTTCTCTTCTTTTCAAAGTCACCCCAGAGGAATTGTGAACACAGCCTCTCGATTTCCTTTATCACCTTTTTTGGCAGGAGGATTACATTCATCCAGTACTGTGTCATGCTTACCAGAACAGAAATAACCAGCTCAAGTTTGCCTGCATATGATAACAGTTTTGGCTGCCACCCAGTGATACGTTTCCCAATTCGATCTACCAAGCTTTTACAGTCAGCAGCTGATAATTTCCCAGCAGTTAGAGGCAATCCTAGATACCTGACTGGCAAACTACCAGCCTGAAAACCAGAACATAAAACTAGCTCCTCCACTAAAGATTTCACTTTTGCTCTGATTGCATCTTAACCCTGAGACAAGGTAGAACTTATTCAACACTTCAGCAACCACAGACACCCCTTCCACAGTCCCCTTTGTGAATATCAACAGATCATCAGCAAAACACAAGTGTGTTAGGCTGATTCTCTTACACTAAGGGTGATATGGTAAGATGCATCGAGCAGCTGCCCTGTCAAGCATACAACTGAGCACCTCCATGTTAACAGTGAACAAATAGGGGGAAAGAGGGCACCCCTGCCTCAGTCCTTTCCTAGCTTGAAATAAACCAGACAACCCCCCATTAATACAGACAGAAAAACTAGTAGAAGTCAAGCATCCCCTCACCCAGTTCACAAACTTGCTTGGTATACCCATGGCAGTCAGAGTGCAAAGCAGAAAATCCCAATCAACACTATCAAAGGCCTTCATTATATCGATCTTTAAAGCACATCTGGGGGAAACATTCTTTCTATTGTACCATTTTACCATCTCATGAGCTAACACTATATTATCTGTTATAAGCCTGCCTTGAATGAAGGCAGATTGATTGGGGCTGATAAGTTGGGGCAAAACAACTCGGAGTCTATTAGCTAGTATCTTAGAGATACATTTGTAAACAAAATTACAACAGGATATAGGCCTAAAATTCTTCATAGTATTTGCAGTAGGGATCTTAGGGATGAGAGCTAAGATAGTGCAGTTTACCTCTTTGCGCAAAGTACCAGTGCAGAAGAAATCCTGAACAGCTGTAGTGAGAACCTCCCCTACCAAATCCCAATGTAGTTGGAAAAACTCTGCAGGGAAACCATCTGGCCCTGGGGCTTTCCCCCTCTTCATTTTCATGACTACCTTCTTGACCTCATCTCCTGTAACCAGAGCACATAGTTCCTCTCCACCATCAACCAAATGAAATTTCAATAGCCTTCTTAAGGTGTCAACCGAGACCCTTTTCAGATTAGAATCCTCAGTTCCCAAGAGTTGTTTGTAGAAATTTACTGCTTCCAAACCAATATCCTCAATGTTTTCCAGAACCTTCCCCTCTCCTGTGACTAACTGTTTGATAGTGTTTCTAGCCTGCCTAGTCCTTACCATACTGTGAAAAAAACTTGAATTTGTGTCCCCACTTGTAATCCACTGCTGCTTGGACTTCTATTTTAGGAAACTCTCCTCTGCCTTTTGAAGGGCAAGAAGTTGGACCATACACCTTTTTTCAGCCTGAAATGCTGAAGAGGCAGGGCGCTCCAACACCTCTTGCTGTGCCTGATCAAGTTCTGCTTTAGCTTGCCTAACCCTTTCATGAATCTCAGAGTAGCAATCCTTATTAAGCTTTTTCAGAGCACTTTTAATACTACGCAGTTTTTGATACAGCCTGGCCATCGCAGTTCCAGTAACAGGACAAAGCCATCCTTCTTTTACTAAAGTATCATACTGGGGATGCAGTTTCCAGAAGCTAAAGTACTTAAACGGCTTTGGCAAGGATTGAGTGGCGGAGTCCAAGTTTACAAGCAAACCACAGTGATCAGACAAACCTGGCAGAAGAATTTTTACTAGGCTCCTTGGATGAGCCTCCATCCAACTCTCTGTGACTAGAACCCTATCTAGCCTTTTAGCTATTGGGGTCTTAGCCTATTTATTAGACCAAGTGAACCAAGGTCCCAGCACCTTGTGATCAATCAATTTCAGCTCCTCAATCCAAGATTTGAAATCCGGAGTACTCTCCCCCAAGCTCACTTGATTTGAACTTTTAGAACCATCCACTATAGCATTAAAGTCACCAGCCACCATCCAAGGGATCGAGAAATCCACCCTTCCAGCTATCTCCCTATAGGTCTGCCTCCTCTCCCCCACGTCATTGGAACCATACAAAAAAGTGAGTTGAGTAGGAACCCCCTCCTGCAGAACACCATGAACAAAATTGCTCCCACTATCCACCACACTGAACTTTAGACCCTTCTTCCAAAGCAACCAAATCCTCCTAACCCCCACTGAAGAGTAAGTCTCTTTATGTTCCCAACCAGGAAACTTCTCATCTACAATTTTCTCCACTCTATCTGAATTTACTCTGGACTCTAAAATAGCTACAATTTCTACCTTATACCTTCCAACAGCTTCTACTATGCTATTCTGCTTTGCAGGGTTGTTAAACCCCCTCATGTTCCAGACAAGTATGTTCATCACTTAGTAGATTGCTTTGCCCCCTTCGAAGGTCGACCAGGTTTACCTTTCTTCTTGTTCAGCCCATCCCTACCCAATTCAGGGAAATGAACTGAGTCCTTCAGAGGAGAAACGATGACCTCACCCACTTCAAACTTAGCCAAGGACGACAGAGCCCCAAATGAACCTTGATTTGCCCCAATCTCTTCAATTGCTTGATGAAACTCACCCTCAGATGGCAGACCACATCCCTGCCAAACTCCAGAGCTCACTGTTAAAGAGGTGACAAGGTTATCCACAGCCAACTGCAACCCTTCCTGAACAGGGAGAACTTCACCTCCAGGTACAGATAGGGGGACCACTTCTGGCTGGGCATCACTACTAACACCAGCAACTGCTTGCTCCAAAGATGCACTCTCAACTACTACCCGCTCCTGCCTCCCCTCTTCCTCAGTGCGAGCAACTTCCTGAGTCCCTTTAATCTCCTGTTGCTCTTCCTGTTCATTCTCCCTCAAGCAATCATGCCCAAACTTGCAGCATTTGGCACAAATGTCAAGCTTATTACAGAACTCTATGTGCACATTGTAAGCAGGCCTCTTATCAGGTACAAGCCTCAGGAACTCCGGGAACTCAGATCCGACCTCCATCTCAACACATACTCTAGGGTACCCCAACCACTGACCCAGACGAGTTGACTTATAAAACCACAACGGCTTACCAATCATACTAGCCAATCTAGTAAGAATACGACCAGTGCTGTGTTCAAGAGGTAGATCGAGGAACCTTACCCAAATTGGAATCTATTGCCTCGGTTGCTCAGCTCTGATCCCTGGCTCCCACTTCCTCAAATAGC